GCTTGGCGAGGTTCGGAACAGACGCCCCAGTGAGATTATCGGGTGTCAACTTCCATCTGGCATTTGTCAGAGCTGGGGGGGGAAGGCAGTTCTTATCAGATCTCCAAATAAAAGGAGCACTTCCACTTTGTGTGGTAGCAACTGGAAAAATTTCTTTTGTGTTTGAAGCTTTAAAAATATCCTGCCCTTGAGGTTGGCTAAGTCCGTTGAGAGCTTGGAGACCCCTTTCCCATCCAAAGGTAATAAAGCTAAGCTTAAGGTTACAGAAATTCCCAGCACACAAAAATTACAGGAAGCTGTTGCTAAGTAATATTTCTACCTAAGTAAACATCACAAAACCTTTCCCACACACACCTCTGAACTTTGTTATTAGACCTGCCTCGAAGATGTTCAAGGTTGCCGAATTTCTTCTGGCACCCGTCTCTTTAAAAGCGCTGGGTGCTATTTCACAGCAGCTGAAAGGCATTTCAGGCTGAGCAATGTTTTTCTGAGCGCTTTGTTGTGCTGCTTGTAGCAGGAAACAAAGCAAGCTGCTAAAGCTACTCTTCGGTTCCCTACCTGCCCCCTACCTCTCCCAGCATTTTCCCTGGATAAATCACAGGCAAATTAAAGAGAGATTCTGCTGTATCCCTAGTCTCCAGACCTGCTTCCTCATCATCATAAAAAAACCCGGACAAACATTATTTCCATACTGTACCTTTATTTAGCAGCTCATTTGCACCTCAATTACTCCAGACTGTCGCCCCTTCTATCAGCTCTTCTGCACCATCCTCTTCAGCTGGCCCAAATGGGTTCACAGACTTTACACTTTCTTTTCATGAGGTTAATATTTTGCAACAAATTCTAGATTGAACTAATTGAGGGACACGGCTTTTGTTTTTATTACGTAAAGCAAGACAATAGATTGAAGACAGAGTCTACCAGCAAACCTGAAATGGCCCGCTCTTAATCATCCAAATTTCCTGGTAGCGTGAAGTCCCAGGATCAAGAAGCTAACAGACTCCCATGAAGGTTTCATTCAGGATGAACAGGAGAACGTGAGTTTCATCACATCCTCTAAGGAACAAAGCCTGTATTTCCAGTATCCATCCTTATACTGCAGAAACATGGCCCTTCAATATTCGCCAAGGGACTGTCTGATATTGCGGATCATCTGCCCGAACGTTTTTATTTGGCCATTCCACTTTTCCTTCCTATTAGCTCACTCCACCTCCAGATGACCCAACATGCAAGTAAAAGGCTGAACCCGCCGTCAAAACCATCAGGCTGCTTCAAATTATGTATGGACAGAGGAGACTGACTGCAAAGAGAATTGGCAGGAAATCCTATTTCGGAGGGAATTGTTCCTTCCGCCAGTGGAGTGACAGACATATAGCATTTTTATTACATTTAAAAAAAAAACACGTGGAAAAAAATGCGAAATATGAAAATCATGTTTGGCAGATCTAGACTGAGGTCTAGGACGTGGCATTTCCAGCATTTTTGTTGTCTGCATTCTTCAGCAAAGACTCTCTCTGCATGAACATGCTGCACCCAATGCAGAACTACGCTTTTACGGCAATAAAAAAAAGTATGTACGTATGTTAAAAAAACCAAAAGAGCCTTATAGAAATGTGGGCTGAAAAGGTACAAACCCTGCAGAACGGGAACAGCATTTGGCTGCCATAGACAGCGGAAGGCTAGACCCAAATTCCAAACAGACTACATATTCCCCTCCCTTCCTACTCAAAATATAACATGAGTTGGCCCGAACTGAACCGACTCGCTTTTCACACCAACACGAGTCACTTAGAAAAAGGCAAAGCAAACTTTCAGGCAATGCATCCCCACCAATCTCGGTCCATGGTACAACCACCTCCACGTCTGCACTCAGACACGGATTCCTCAATACTGCAACTGTTCCCTCAAAGCGTGCAGCTGCCCACAAATCACTTCAGCTCCTCCCAACTGGTTTCATCCACAACCTTAGCTCCAACGCCTGTAAGAAGATCCTTCACTTTGTTGTCTTGAACGTGTTATCACCAACTGTAAAAAAATTTCTGGGCTGGAGTTAGAGCTGCAAGGATGATTCAGAGACTTGGATGTGTGCCTCGGAGATAATTCCATGCTATAACCGAAAGTTAGTTTTGGAGTTAACTGGGATATCTGTGCTGATTAAAATAAAGTAGTACCAAAGACGTATGATCCACATGAGATGTGGCAGGGATAACGGAAGGGAAGCGATGGCAGGGAGTGTGTCAGGGACTGGTGTGGAAGAGGTGGGGGACACCCAGGACCCCGCTCCAACCGTTGCCATCCCCCTGGCCACTCACACAAGACCCTGTGACACCTTTCAGCCTTCCCCTGGGCAAACTTCTCGCCCGTCTCCTAATTTTCTCCGGCGAGACTCAGAGCTGAGCAGGCTGGAGAAGCTTGCCAGCCTGGGACTCATCTCTGTCAACTAACCCACGCCCTGTTACCATCAAAACAATATTTACAGAGTCTTTAAGCATATTTTTTCTGGTAGACAAAACAGCAAACAAAATATCCGGCAGTCCCAGTGCTCTCCAGCAGTGCTATCAGTTCAGACAGCAACCGCTTCCCATCCGGATGCAAAACAAAAACCAGCAACCAGGGATTCCACACCAAGTTTTATAAAACAAACTGGGGGTGCAAATAACACAAACGACACACAAACCCAAACTTCCCCCCAAGAAAGTTACACCGAAATGGCTACATTCCATTCCAGCACCGGCTAAAAGACAGAGAGCAAAAATAAAAGAGGGGAATAGGCTTAAAACCAGAGAGGTGGGACACTTGAGCACAGCATTAGCTGCTGAAGATGCCCAGATAAGCTGCAAAAGTGCAGAGGGAAACGTTTCCTGACATTAATACTTCAGTACTGGGAGCTGCCATGAGGCTCTTCAGGCTAAGGAAAGCTAAAGTACAATTCACACAAGTTTATAATAGTCTTGACAAAACAATTCCACACGCTAAGGATACGTTATGGCTGGCACGAGAACAGAGCACGCAGCGATTCCATAACAGGGTCACTAAATAAATGTCATTTTATCTCCACCACAGTTACTAGCGTGCACGCGTGCTAAAAAACACTCAGAAGTCTAAAAGACTGTTTTAAAAAGCTGTTAACATCACTTGAGTCGCATACAGGCAGGTGTCACAAGGCATAAAATAATACAGATACCAGGTTGTTGAGAACACCAGCTACCAATAAGTAAAAGTACAAATCTCAGTGTTCAAAACAAAGATAAGTGTGGCGTGTTAAGTGGTTTGGAAAATGCATACCAGTTACAGCCAAAAATATGTAGGAGCATTGCTTCTCTCAATCTTCTACAAGGAACACAGAAAACCAGATGGGAGCAACTGCATATAATCACTTTTGAAACCACTCTCAACCTCAAATTTCAATTTCAACTTCAAATTTCAATTTCAACTTTAAATTCCAAATGGACTTACTAGCTTGGCTCCCTCAGGTAACTAAGCTCCGCCAGTGTGTGACACTGCATGAATGTCCTCCAACAAACCAGCTGAATTTATCCGAGAGGCTCAGGAGCTGAGATTTCTGCCCCACCAGGAAAATATTACATTCCTACAGGTTTCACGAAAATAGGCAGTCATATAAAGGAGAGAAACCATACATTCCAGCCTGCTGCAGCACAGCCCCAGAAAATTCACAGGAATGAGGGACATTATGAACGGTCTAGCCACAGAAAAAGTTTCGGTTAGATCTTTAACGTTATAAAAGAGCAGAAAACATCGAACGTGAACACGTAAGAAACCAGGTTTCAGCACTGATAATAACTGTATACCAAAAGTTTATGAACTAAAAGGCTTTAGAACCCTGTTTTTCACTTTAAAAAAGGAACACACATACACATTAGCATCCTCTTGCTCATACCCTGTTATTCTGGCATCAAAAAATAACCACTTTCTTTAAAAGGAAGCTAGACGATTTTGGGGTGAGGAGTAGCAGAGGGGAAACCACATAAATTTCATTAGTTTATGCATACTGGTAGGAATTCCTTCTCAAATTTGGCACTTAGCACTCAAAATTGCCCTTTAAAGCTTGGCAAGAAACTCCCTCCAGCCCGCAAGTTTCCTAATTTCGTCTTCGGACACACTGCTTCGTTTGGATGCACTACATCCAGAAAGACAACTCGAAATGTGTCAGTTTGACCTCAATTCACTTTGCTCCCTGTCCGCCTGATTTAACATAAATCAAAGTAAATATGTAATTAAAACTAAATTTAAGCTCAGTTTCAAGTTTGGAAAACACAAACCTGTGTGACGGTAGACGCAAGCCTAGTGCAGCTTAAGAACTGGAGTTCAGGGGTTGCAAGAGCAGCTAACTTGCTGAACAGACCTTCTCCTCTGAAGCCAAACCCCAGGCTCAAAGCCTGCTTATTACACCCTCCCCTAGACTCCTGCTATGGGCAACCCCCCTCCAGGTCCTCCTCCTTCTTCTCCCTTCAGGTCTGACTTGGCTTCCAGCTTCTTACTCTGTGCAAACATTGCTCACCCATCCACCTATCTTCCACCTTTTTATGGCAGGAAGGTTTCAGTACAAATGTAATTGCACCTTTCTAGAACCAGGTTTATTCCAGAAAGACTTTTCCCCGTCATTCTGCTTCTGCCTGCCGCAGTCAATCTGGACTTCTAAACCCCCACCCAAGCCCCAGCAGAGACACCAGTACCTCTAACTATTACACAAGATACCCGTTACTCTCACAGCCTGTTGAACTGGTGAGCTCTAGGCAGTCCCTAACCTTCCAGAGAAAGGAAACACGTTTTTGGAGATGTTATTCACATATATTCGCTGCTACACCAGCCCCAGCCCAAAGGTTCTCTCTTCGCCCGTCTACCGTCGATTTTGAGCCTTGCTTTTAGGAACCTGTGCTTAAGGTAGCCATTAATAGGTACCTATCAGCCCTCCAACAGACCCGACAGGTTAAAAATGGCCAGCAAAGCCACGGCTGACACACATCACTCCGCGGACTCACCCCTCTGACAGCGATCGTGCGTCCAGCAGCGTTCGATGAAAATGCCATTTATCACGGTAGGCGGACAGTTGCTCTTCCCTTTCACAGTTCCTGGACACACATCTCCACACTCCTCTTTGTCATCCTTGTTGGCCACGATGTAATTATCTTCCACAGAATCTAAAATCCTCGACCAGTCGATGGTGGACAAGTAACATAACTCATTGTTCTTCTCAATCCGCACCGCGCCCCGAGTGATGTTCATCAGGTTGTAGAGGCCGATCTCCTTCAGGTGAACCATCTCAAAAATGACCAGCGCGTAGTTAAAAAACAGATGAGTTCCCCGAATCACAGTGAGGTTAGGGAACAGGCCCTTTAAACTTTCCAGGCCATACACGCGAAAAAGCAGCAAGTAGTCTGTAATCATAGTCAGTTTGGGAAAGCTGAGCTCGCGGAAATCTTCAGGCTTGGTTTTAAACATCAGCAATATCTGCAAGTGGCCCTCAATCACAGTGCAGTTCTCAAGCATGCTCAGCCGGGTCAGGTTGTTGCGAATGTCCATGCTTCTGCAAACTGGAAGGCAAAGAATAACGGCATTTATTTATTTAAGAAAAGGTAACGGGTTTGATTTTCTAAATAGACCGTTTTGTCCAACTACATCGCCAGGCACAGCCACACTCGGGACTCACGACCAGGTCCTTCTCAGGAAAGCTGGCTTCACGTGTGAAGAGGTACATCGTGGGGAACGTCCCCTGGTATATGATTACAAAATACGACTGAAAGAGTATTTCATCATTTTTTTCTGCCACCTTGAGCTCCTGGGTATCACCTCTGTCACGACGGCAGCGGTAAGGCCCTGCCGCAGACGTCACTTGGCGCATACAAAAGTGAGGGATGTCTACGGGACTGAGTCTGTTTTCTTTAGATAGTTGCCAGCGACACACCTACCTCATCGCAGATTGTGCAACTAATGCCAGTGGATTAGAGGGAGTAATTTAGAGTGGTTGCAGGGGAAGATCGGAAAAGCGCAATGGCTGGGAAATGGCAGCGCTTCGGAAGAAAGCAGAAAAACCTGGAAATACACACGCAAGGGTCGAGCCTGCGCTCTCGCCCAGACTCTGCTGACAGGAGTCATTAACGACACCCGTAATTTTTGCCCTCAGCATTCTTTTCAGATTAGGTGTTTGGGCTTTTTTTGTTATTATTTTCTCAAGGTTGCAAATCTCCCTGCCTTGGCTGTCTGGACAGTTTATTTCGTAGACCCGGTAACCCAAAGAAGTGGCAAAGTGAACGATTACACGAAGCATAAATGAGGAGGTAAACAGAATAGTACGAATCCAAGCGGCAGCCAGAGGAAAAGATGGAAAGCAGAAGGTTTGAATAGGGATTTATTTTTTTTAAATCTAAGCACAGGTAAGAAATGAAGAAGGAAACGTAGAGCCCCACACCTGGAGCACAAGAGAAGTCCCAGCGAGAGCCCTTTTAAAACCAAAGGTCACAGAAACACCCAGCCAGACCCCGAGGTGCAAGGGGTCTGTGGAAAGGCCAGCCTGCTCGGCAACACGACGGCGCAAACAACCCTCTCCCCGCCCTGCCAAGGTGGGTTCTTTTTCAATTTTGTTTGTTTTCGTTAAGACTCCATCCACTTCAGGGACTCTCTCTTCCCTCTATAGCTCAGACAGCCCCTGTCCTCCCTCCCCCTCAAAAGCATCTTTACTCTTTTTGTCTTCTACTCCCTGTACAGAAAGCTCACCAACGACAAAATCACCGCCTCGCCGCTTCAACAAATCACCCAGCAATAAGCAGGCCTGACAAAAGTGATGCAGAGACAGATGTTTAACAGTTACGACTGTCTGACTCCTCACGGATTTACACAGACCACCGCTGTGTGGGTTAAAAATAAATCCTATGCAAACGTCTTAATGATTATTCAAAAAATTTGCTCCACTGCAATAAAAAAAAAAAAAATCTGGCAACACTAATATAGGATTTGAAGCAATGTTATTGCCCAATGGGAGTTTTTGGCACTATATCCAAGTCGTTTCATAAATTGCTTTCTGGAAGAAAAAGCTAATGCACACAGTGCCTCAAAGATCAAGGATGTACTTTTAGAAAGTAGGAAGGGAAATCTGGTGACCAACTAGCAGCAACCTTTTTGCTAAAAGAAGGAGGAGAGCAACAGGTTCATTTAAGTACTCTAAATACTTATTTTAATTAATCAAGATAGGTATTTCCAAGGAAGCAAGCGTGTGACAGGGCAGGTCTGTGGTTTCTTCACGAAAGGAGAAAGAACAGAAGGACACATAAAACTCAGACACTGAAATTCAATGTACAAGTCACCAGTGCAGCTAAAACCACCTGGTAAATTCCAAATCCAGCATCTCGGTCCTTATTTACTCCTTGCTGAGCACAGGCAAAACCCAGCACGCTGAGGTGGTACTCACCACCCGTATCACAGTGTAAGGTACCACCTAGAGTAATCTGCATGTATACAGCTGACCTTACAGAAAAGGAAAGGTTAAAAAATACCCCCCAACTCTACAGACTAAGAATTACTTTCAAGAGTAAAAGCTCCAGGCTTTTATTGTGGCTCAAGGCCACAAAATGCACATATACACTAAGCATAATTACCTCAGTCTTTCATCATTTCGACTAGAATTAGGTAAGCCACTAGAAACAGGGCAGAAGCCGGCCCGCAGGCAAGCCCGTAACCCACAGCTATCCCTGCTTGGCTGCGCGGAAAGGGGAGACAGAAAGAGCTTGAGCACGGATGGAATGAACGGCAGTTTGGTACAGTCAGGACTAAGTCCTCCGCGTGCTGTAGCTGCACTTCAGGCTACGAAAATCTCCCCATCATCCTGTATCATCATGAGAATCTCCCCAGCATGAGGCTGCACCTCGAATCCTGGGGTCAGTTTGGGCTCCTCACTGCAAGACAGACACTGAGGGGCTGGAGCATGTCCGGAGAAGGGAACGGAGCTGGGGAAGGGTCTGGAGCTGTTTTTTCCAATTTCCAAGGAATTTTCCCAATTCCTGTGAGGAGTGGCTGGGGGAGCTGGGGGTGTTCAGCCTGGAGAAGAGGAGGGTCAGGGCAGACCTTATCGCTCCCTACAGCTCCCTGAAAGGAGGGGGCAGAGGGGTGGGAGGTTGGTCTCTTCTCCCAAGGGACAAGTGATGGGACAAGAGGAAACGGCCTCAAGTTGTGCCAGGAGAGGTTTAGGTTGGATATTAGGGAAAATGTCTTCATGGAAAGGGCTGTCAGGATTGGAACTGCCCAGAGAGGTGGGGTGGGGGGTCACCATCCCGGGAGGGGTTTAAGAGACGAGTTGATGTGGGGCTCAGGGACAGGGATTAGGGTGGGCATGGCCGTGCTGGGTTAACGGTTGGACTCGGTGATCTTAAAGGTCTTTTCCAACCAGGACAATTCTATGATAACAAGCTGACAAACCTGCTCAGAAGCACCTATCCCAGGCCCTTCACCCACGCATCAGAGGGCAGGGTGCCCAGCAATGGGGAAAATCGTGATCCTATTTGGCTGAGGAACGGACACACATTCAGCAAGCCTTCATGGAGAGCATCCTCTGCTTCCATCTAGCAACAGGCTGATCTCCTGCACTGCCAGAGCTCACAGCACTCACCACTCTCCTACACTCAAAAGAAGCCAAATCACACTGCTTGTGGCCCTGACCCGTACCGCTACGGGTATCTGTCCATCACTACTAACACAAGCAGTGCTGCTCCTGGTCCAAACAGTTAGAAAGCTGCTCAAAGATCTGCCTGTCTCCTCAAAAAATACATGACCTGAACACCCACCCAGGGTATAAATCTCCCTCACCTTCGGCTCTCCCCATCCTGAAACACACTCCCCACTGAGACAGCAGCAAAGGTGACCAGAGGTGGCTAAGGCAGCCAAATTTTCTGACGGCATGCATTAAAGACAGGTTAGCTGGAGCTGAACCTAAAAAGAATGGTGAAGCTGGGGAGTAAAGGGCAAAGCACTTTAGTGCTGAAGTGGGGAGGCCCTGGGACAGGTGCCCAGAGATGTTGTGGATGCCCCATCCCTGGATGTCTTCAAGGCCAGGCTGGATGAGGCTTGGAGCAACCTGGTCTAGTGGAAGGTGTCCCTGCCCATGGCAGGGGGGTTGGAACTGGATGATCTTTAAGGTCCCTGCCCACCCAAACCATTCTGTGATTCTGTGATTTTGAAGAGTTAAATAATCACCTCAATCTACCGGAGCGGGAAGAGAAAATCCATCCCTTGTTTGCATTTTAGAACTATTTTTGTACTTTTCACCAATTCCAAACTCTGACACAGAATGCATTAATTGTAATTAATGCTGCCAGCACAGCCCAGTTAGGAGGTTCCACATGCCCTGGCAAACCAGGATGTCACCTGAGTTATTCCAACTCTGCTGCTTTCAAAGCTGAAATAAACTGGCACAACGCCGGCCAGGGGTTCCAGCGGGGGCTTCTGCACTCGTCCTGTACCACAAGGCAACGGCAGACACCGACATCAGCCTGGTACAGAAATGTAGGAGGAATTTAAAATGAATCAGAGGTTTATTTCCGAAACAAACAGTTGAATAAAAGGCTAATACAACTGTAAACGGTCAAAGGTTTAAAGGGATTCTACAGATCTTTTGAGAAAATCACACTGAAGAACTATTTTCATGTCCTACTTGAGCTTAGTTTGTAAGTGATAAATACCACCGTGGTATCTGAGCTCCCTTTTATTTTTGTTACCACCCCCAGGATCAAGGAGAAAAACAAGGAGTTAAGAATATCTGATGAAAACATGACTTTTTTTTGCTGGAAGGTTCTCGATCTTTTCATGCTCCTGAATTCTGTTCAGCAGTTTGTATCGTTTGTTCATGCAGGAGCTGCTTAAGTCACCCCATAAATTTATTGTTACCAAGACAACAAGAAGCAGTTTTAAGCAAGATAATAAGTGTTTTTCCACAGCTCCTCTCGACAGTATTTCTCTGGCAGGGCCAGGGGAATTAATCAACCATTCGGTATGAAGGTTAGGCAGGTTTGATCCCAGAAGACAGAGAGCAAAGTTGAGCAGTCAATTACGAGACAGATAAACGGGTTTCAGAAAACACATAAATCATCATTTGGGAAAATAGAAACCTCACGCTGCCTCTCCAGCAGTAGGCCCAAAGCTACTCCTGTTCAAACTACTGGCCAAATCTCTACTAAAGACAAATCCCTGAATTTCAGCAG